CTCCCAGGGGTCTTCACTACCACTGGCACAATGACTCAGTATAAGTGCATCAGGGAAATTCAGCTGAGATGTTCTTAATTAATAAATCATAAAATGCAATATATTCACACAGAGTATTAAAAAAAAAGTTGATTTGGAAAGTGGAGAGACATTTCCCTTCTGGAAGCAGGGTTTGGGTGTGGACATGTTTGATGAAGGAAATCCATCTTAGTCCTTTCAAATATGGCTAGGTACTAGTCAGCTGTGGCGAATCAAAAGGCTGGTAATCAAATGTGTGGCACGCAGGCAAATATTTCCTGACCATCCTGTTGTCAAAAGCCAGAGAGAGGCAGTGCATTAGTCTAGAGTGGTGGTAAGATGACCTGTTAGCTGTGCCAATGGGCCTCCTTACCATCTTCTTTGGCAATCAGTTAGACACATGAGAAGGTAAGGAGAAAGACACGCTAGCGCCCTGTCACTGGAGTGCTGCTGTCATCCCAGCTAGCGAGAGTTAGCATCAGCTAACATAAATCGACTAAGTACAACAGCTCGTCCAGTCACACTGTACCTCAAACATCAGGCCAAGGAGGATGATCATGGCCAGGCACGACACCATATCGGCGTGATTCTGGATCACAAACTCGTGGCTCAGCACCGGTGGGCTCTTGTTCTTCTTGCGGAAACCCATGGCTCACCGACTCTGCCTGGCTGCCTGGCTCCGGGGCTGCTGTCACTGAGTCTAAGCGGGGTTGGAGCTAGCTTCCCCTGCTGCACTGCTGCTGGCCTCCTGGCCTCAACAGACGGATGCTCGCTCTGCTCTGGGACGATCCCTCCGCCGTAGTCCGCAAGCACAGTGAACCGCTGCTCGTGTGTTTAGTAGCAGACATGAAGACGCATCGCACCGAGCCAAACACCACAGCACAACACCCACTTTATTCCTGCTGCCCGCTGAAGTCAGATGACGGGCCCTCCCACTTCGAAACCCCATTCATGAACCGCCCAGTGTCATTGACGTAGAAGGAGAACCCGGGCCCGTGGTGCCTTCACGTTCCCCACGTAAGCGCGCTCCAGGTTTCAGGAAATGCAGGCAGAGATGCTAAATCACCACGTATGGTGATGCATTAAAGACTTACTGTTATTTTAAATGATTGGCGTGTTTGAAAATTATACTGTCTACCAAAATAGCAGCTGGTGACTAGTTACACTCCCGGAAGCCAGCAGGGGGTGTGACCAGATTTTTTTTTAAGTCAAAGTAGGCCAAAGAACATGTTTCTGTGGACAATTTGACAAATGGTTGCAGAAAACTTTCACACAGTCATTGTGTGGGGCACGTTGTGAGGTTATCTGACAAAATAAATAGGTACAAATTATGCAGGATAGGGATTGGATGCATATTTCTAACTTCTTGAGGGCATAAGTGGAAGCAACAGTATGCTTTATGGTTTGATGATGATTTTTGTACACTTTTGTTTAGCAGTAAGTGTTAAAGCTATCATCTTCGAGTTTCAATACGGATGCATACCATGTCAACCTACTCTCTCAATATGTGTATGCAGTTTCAAACGGAGCTGGATACTTACTTTTGAGTAATGTAATCATATACAATCGATTATATTCAATCTCTTTCAAGCATTCAACTCTGTCTTAATCATGCTTGGAACTCAGAGTCACAGGGGGATTTTTTTTTATTGTTATGTGCCTAACATTATATTTAAAGAAATCCAAATTATTGAGATGCTGTGGGACCCCAAGTAAAAAGCATCTCATTCTGCATTTGCATCTTTAACATATGAAACAATCTGCTGAGTTAAAACCGCTGTACACCTTCAAATGACTGCTAGTCACAGATACAGCAGACACATTTCCTATATGCTGACCTAAATTGTCTCCTATAACTGCACTTACTGTTTGGTGTCCACTATTTTATGTAAACACCAGTAAATTTACATTATGAATATTGTTTAAATTACAGTTATTTAAAAAAAATTAAATAAATTCCTCTTTTCAAACTGTAGTTGAGGATATGTAAATGTAAAAAGCTTTAATATGCTTTAATATGGTGATGATATGTTATCATATATGTTATTATATGAATTAATTCATAAGATGATTTATTAAGTAAACAATCCACTATATAAAGGAGTAATGGTGTGGTAAGGACAAATATGTTTTAAATACATTTCTTACTTAAATCAAGTTTAAATCATTTTAAGTTTTAAATAGAAATTGTCGGAGAGACCGGAAGTTAAATTTGGTAAACGATGGTATAATCTGAAAAAGGTCAACTAGAGGTAAAGTCGCTTGCCAGGTAGTAAGTCTTTTGATTCTATATTTAATGTTAAGAATATATTATTATAATATATTATAATATAATTTCTTCTAATTTCAGAGGGATAATTTTGTGTCAGAGGTTAGCAAACATGTTAACACATGGTCGCTTAAATTTGTGACAGCTAACCGTCGACAATTCATTTTAACCTTCATTGATTTTTATTTTTTAATTTTGTTTTTATCGGGGGTGTTATCCGTCTAAAGAAGCAAGTCCCTATATATATATACACAATTCTAATCGTTTTTTGTTCACATCCAGGCGCCGTGTGTTTAACACTAACGTGTTTAGACTGTTAGCTAACTTCCCAACAATTTAAACAGAATTCCACGTTCATTTTATCTCCTTGCATCATGGCACCAGAGGGCAGTATGAGACAGACCGGAGAGAACTGCACGGAGCCGTTCGAGTACAACGTGTGTACACAAAATAAAATGTTTAGTTCAGGTCATTTTCTCTAATTTGGGTGAAATTTCTAAACGGCGATGTGTTTCATCAGCGCCCGGCTAGCTCAGTCGGTAGAGCATGAGACTCTTAATCTCAGGGTCGTGGGTTCGAGCCCCACGTTGGGCGGAAGTCTTTTTTTTTTCTTCTGTGTGCTTCACTTCCCTAAATCACAAGAACACAGGCCTCCATTGTGCTTACACGGAAATCAGAGAAAAGTTGATCCGCCGCGAGTCTGCTCTGCTTTATAACTAATCAAAAATTACTTGGCCATAGTTTGTGGAAGTCTTGGTTTTCCCTTCAAATTCATCACCCTATTTTACAATGTTTGAAATGTAAATTAGCCTTGCTTGGAGGAGGAAAATGGTGCTGAAAAAAGCCCCCAAAGTGGTTAAAGGAAGTTCAAAAAAGATCAATGAGGTGTAATTTTTAGTGCTTGTGATACTGATAAGCAACATATGGCAATATTTATATATCAGGACATATTTTATGTTTAATTTAATGAAGTCCTATGCATTGAACACATTTTTCTAGTATTCAAATACTGCTTTGAATTCTACATTAGAGTATATAAAAATAGACTTTTCATCACATCAAATTAAAGCCTTACAAATGACCCAAGAGCAGACTCAACAAATGAGATAAAGCAAAAAGGAACGTGCATGTGTTCCTCAGAATGAATTGTTATATTGTATTGCCTAATAATCTATATATTTTACTCTTTATCTGGTCATAGTTGGGTCTGCTGAAAGTCAGACGGGACCACATCTGGTAAATGATCAAGCTTATCACTCGTACACAGTATTTTTGCATATGGTTTGTTTAACTGCCCATTATTCATATATACATAATAAAAAGTAGGGGTTAGCTTCTTTAGGATTAAATACAAGTATATCATTTCTTATGTTGTTCTGTTTTTTGATGGCTGAAATGTCCGAATAGAAGAACAGCTTTAGCCTCTCTTTTCTTTGGAATAAGCCAAGAGGGAGGAGTTTAAACAAAGGCCCTTTCCACATAAAAAATGGAAGCTTGTGCAGAGAAGCCATGGTGTCCTGCTCTCAACACTACATGCTGCCGTTTCTGCTTCTAAAACCTTCAACTAAGACGGTTGTTTCCTGATTCTGCTGTTGGAAGCTACAAAGCATTGTTCCATGGGTTTGTATGTCAGAAATCCTCGCAGTAATCACAATATTTTGTGGTTTTAAGACCTAGCTCTGTGCTTATTTTTCTTCCCCTGTCTCTGACTCTCACAGTGCTGCCCCTGCCTGCACTGAACAAAGATAATTACTCAGGAAACATTTCGGCCAATCAGGCGCGGCCTTGCATCTTGCTCGTGAGGAAAGCGACCAGTCAGGATCTGGCTAACATCACCGGGGCCTGATCGCCTTGCCTGAAGAGCGGAGCCTTCCCCGACTGAGGGCTGAGAGTGTCCTCCATGTTTTATAAGTGTTGACATAACAGTGTGTCAGGCAGCCATGCATCCACAGAGGTAAGCTCTGTCTTTTTTATCTCAGACTTCTGATAACAACATGGCTTCCTTCTTCGTGTTGTGCTGACTGTTGGTTTCTAATGATGAATGCGCACACCTTAAAGTCAGTTTAGTGTGCAGGAGGAGGAGGAGCTGGGGTGGATTGGAGGCCTCGTAAGGCCTCTGTGCTCCACAGTGCTGAGGGTGGGAGGGTGGGGGTTGGCTAACGACTCTCACCCTTGTTCTCTCTCTATGTCTCAGGGTCACATGAGTGCCCCAGACAACCAGCCTGCCATACAGGAGGCAGAGTGGACCATGAAAAATCCTTTTATTTTTTTTAGAATGCAAAAGAGAGTTGGATTTTAAAATGGCACACACATCTCCTTTCTGTTGTGGGAGTGTTTGTGTTTTTTTTAGAATGGCAGAGGAAGAATGGGGGATGGGCAGTGGAGGAAAGGGTGTATTATGTACTGTTTCTAAGTGGATTGGCTCTGTGGTGTTTTCTTGTGTCATGCCAGGATGGGGACTACATGCAAAGGGCAACAGAAGTGCATGCTAGGAGGGCAGAGTGCGCAGGGCATCACGTCACTGTAACATTTTTATGTACACATATGTGAAAAATATCTAGAACATGAAAACTGTAGCACAGTGTATACACATTTAGGAAAGCTGCACTAAGACTGGGTTTTCTACAGTCCATAATAGTCAGAGGCCACATTACAAACACTTTGTGACAGGGTAATCCCCTTCCACTTTTTCTAGTGTAATCTTTATAAACTGGTTGCCTCTATTTACACTCATAGGCCTGGAGTTTATTGCCCCTGGCTTCTGCAATTCCACAGTGCTGTTGTGAAACTGCTTCCTACGCTCTCAGCCAGGCAGTAGCCATTTTGTGCTGCCGTCTTCACAGATCAGACGGCATAAGCAAATATAACACACTACTCGTGGAAATAACATAAGACAGACCTATTTTTAAACGTTTCAAGTCAAATCAGTTTAATGTGAATAGCACATTTCAAACGGAGTAAAGCAGAATGCTTTACATAAGTATCAACTGCATTTGAACAGCTGGTAAAAGTGTCGTTAAGAAGGATTGGTCCTTCAAATAACCTGTCATGCTGTCCACATCATAGTCGGTACGTTGTGTTTTGTCATGTTGCACCATTTTAGCAGTCTCAGCTGTGCTGGGGAAACAAAGAATGATTTCTTTTTCTTGTGGCCTGACGCAAGGCTTTTTTTTTTTCATGTAGGCAACATTCAGAAGAGAGTAAGGTTATAATCAGGAAATTACTCGTAGTTTAAAAGATTGCTATCTGTGAAACCAAAACCAAAACCTTTACTACGCCACAATGCCTGATTGAGAATTTATGTTAAAATGTGTAATTATTACATTTTAGATGGATATATGTGGGGCAAAGCTCTGGGCCTCTTTCTGTAGCATTGCAGGCTATAGAGAGGGTGACAGAGGTTGAATAGCACAGACACGGAGTTGTGCATGACAGCCACAAGGCTTTTTTAAAACATTAAAGGGGAAAAAAAAAGCCCCCTGGTTTTGGCTGTCATAATCACAAATTATCAAACAGAACCGAAGGAAAATAAATCGTCTGAGGCAGAGGGAAATCTCTGCATTGCAGCAAAAGCGCTTTTTAAGAGGAAGAGGGGAGCCTGCATACTGTGATCTGTGTGGCATAACACAGCCGACCAATAAAGTTCCACCCTGTTGGCCCTCCAGCCAATTGCAGCTGCAGTTGAGGTTAAAGATTGACAATCCGAGGGAGAGCAGCAGGGAGAGCAAGGCCTTCTGGAAAATTCCACAGCCATCTTTGATTCACCCTTTACAGCCTTTTATAAGATCCAGGTCATTTTTTTTTCTTTCGTACAGAATACGCTGTGTATACTAGCAGTATACTGATTAAGTGCTGGGAGTTGTGCTAGATCAGGCACCTTAATTTACTTAAAGTCATTGTTTAATGAAATGCTTTTATTTCCCAGGAAAAGCAAAAGCTAATCCTATTCATTTCTTCAGTTGTCTGCATGTGTTTGTTGCTCTCATGAAAGCCGGTTGTTTCTTGTCGTATTGCTAAATCAAATAATCTCTCTAGGGTTTTGTGTAGCAGACCGTGTAGGATACCTTTTCTTTTTCGCAGATGTTTTCAGTGGCATCTCTAATATGTTGCAATATAATGAGTGCAGTATGGTGTTCGCATTCAGTTGCATTTCTGGATTTCCAGACGGAGCCAGATATTTATCTGTTTAATGTGTGAAAATTGTTTATTGTTTTTACATGTAGAGAAGCTTTTCCATACAGCTTTGCCAGGACCTGACTGTGGTTTTAGAGTGGTGGTCTGTGTTTCTTAAAAATGAAATCTAATTATTCCATGACAGCAGTATTCACACAGAAGGAGGGAAGCCAAGATTGAATACAGGGAACAAAAAAAAAAAAACCCCAACACACACAGATGAGAGCTTCTGACTTTGCTGGATTTTCCTGTGTCTCCCTCCCTGTGTTTCGCCTCTGTCTCTGTCATTGGCCGTGAGGCTTTGCCCCGACATAGACCATGTTTTTTCGTAATGTTGGACTGTAATCTCCACAGATCTCTCTGGTCCTCCTGCATGGATGTGCCAGTGCCCGAGTCTCAGCCTTGGAGTGGGGGATGGGGGAGAGGGGGGAGGGGAGCAAGCTGTGGCCTCCATTTTCTGTGACGAGAGAACCCTGCTCGTCTCTCACAGGAGTGGAATCTAAAGACATTGATTCAGTGTTGTTTCCTTTTTGTCCGTCAGGTACTTCAGTACTTACTGAGTGGGAATACTGTGTTTTCTTGCACCTGACTATTATGGAATATATCTCAGAACCTGCTAAGGATTTATTTGTTTAAATCTTCTTATTTGATGGATCATAGCTCCTAATCTGAGAATGCACTTTGGATCTTCATACTTTTTTCTTTTTCCTTTTAACTTCTGCTAATCCTGTTTTCTTTGTAGTTGCATAAATGTCTTGCCATTGGTGTTGAGAATGTGTATTATAGGATTGTTTGGCAGCTCAGGGCTGCTTGGTGATGGCGAATGTTCTTTTATAGGGCTGTGGCACACGTAGCAGAGTGAACTGGCTAACGGTTTCTTATTTTCATGTGGGCCTCATTTGTTCACTCAGTCCGGAACAGGAAGGCCCCGGAGGGGTTGGGGTGTGTGTGACTGAGGCTGTGTATGTGCATTTGAAACTGCAGGCTAGATGATACTAGATACCCAAATGCCATGAGAAACTCTGCTCAACCCATGTTTGTCACTTTTTCAGACAATGCAAGCTATGCTTGTATTCTCTCGAGTTTCAGATAAACCATCGGTGACTTGAATGTTTTTAGGAACTGCTGGTGATTGTGAGCCACAGTGTATTTTCTTTTGCCACAGTGACAGACTTTAATCTTAAACCCGTTTGTCGATACATCGTGGTTTACTTGGTGTTATGAGCAAACGTTTATGAGTAAGCGTAACATCCAGATGAACAGAATCAACTTTTTTGGATAACTTACTTGGATAACTGAGCGTGCATCAAGACGTTACAAGCATAGGTTTACTAGCCATTATGCTCATATGTAATCGCTTTTGTTTTATTGATCAAACTCGTAGGGTTTGCATTTTGAACCCTCCTTGCCTCTCAGTGAGCTGACATTTGTTTTAACTTTTTTATGGAATGTCTCTTTAAGGATGGAGGAGGGGACATGCAGAGCATTCCTTTAGTTTCAGAACTGAAAAAAAAAAAAAAGATTATCCCACAAATGTGGTTGACCTTTGAGTTCTACCCCGAAAACCACTCATCCTAGCGGGAAACCAGAGCTGTAGCCAAAGCTATGATCTGGTCAAGTGTGTGACCTGTCAGGGGTCTGTGGGTGGGTTTTCTTCTCTAGGCTTTTCAATAAAGGCTACATCCTTGGAACTAGGCCCTCTGTGGCTCTCACAAAGGAGGAGCCAAACACTCAAAGACCTTCATTTATTGCCAGACCCCCTTTATTCCTGTCTTTTTTTTTTCTTTTTTCTTTTTGCCTCAGAGGAAGTGGGGTGCTACGCAAGAGCAAAGGGAAATCAGTCGTTTCCAGTGCTACATACAGTATGTGTGTTGCATTTTTAGGTTTTGGATTTATTTATTAATTTAAAAAAGTCTTTGCCACTTTATAAACAAAGACATAAAATAGTGCCAGAAATGACAGAAGATTTAATGTGGCCATAATTAAGATCTAGGCCAGAAATGTGTGAAGTTTATTAGATATATCTCTTCCTACTGGTATCTAACAATGGGCCCAAATCCTTCAGGGGTATTCTGTTGTTACTGAAGGGGCTTGAGAGGTACTGTTATTTGTCATGGGGGGCTGTCCCTTCAGTGGTATGTACCAACTCTCTGTGGATTTTTCTTTTTTTTTTTTTGTTGCTACAGATCTATAGCTCTATACACTGTATGTCAAAGAAAGCACTGTGTGAATATTGTGACCTAGTAGGACTAAAATGCTATGACTGCAATGTAAGGACAGAGGTGCAGGGTAATTACAGCTAAATGGCCCTACGTGTTGTTGCAAATCTCAGCTTGTGCTTAGCGGAGATCAGCGTTACCATGGTGATATTTATCATCCTTTCTCTTGGAGCATAAAGAACATTTGCAGACTCCATTGTAGATGATAATATGGAAAGTATTTTAATTTCATGAAACAAAGTGGGAGATGTTGTAAAATCAAATGAAAACAACAACAATGGAAATCAGCAGAGTCCCTGTTGACAGATCCTCTGGGACCCGGGTGCCTTAGGTGGTGTTCCACTTGTTTACTGCTATGCTGATGTGGTTTCTGAACACCCTTTCTGACTTTGTGTTTGCGTCTCTTTCTGTGTTTCTGTGTGCTCCTGTTCGGTGCTCTGCAGTCTGGCTGAGGAGGAGATAAAGACAGAGTCTGATGTGGTAGAGGGAATGGATGCATCTGTGCGATCCAAAGGTAAGTCTCTAAGGCCGAGGACCTCACATTAGGAGCCAAGCATCCAACACAGCTCAGTTACAGAGAAGGTAGAGGTTATTTACTGTATGTTTTGAGGAGAAGAGTCTTAATACGTTTTGCTGGTCTCTTAGGATTGCAAAGATGATCCATTTTTCCTGCCTGCTGAATCTACACGGGGTGTAGTTAGTTCCGAGGAAGCCCTCTAGCCATTTATTATGATGAAATAGTAATTTGACGTGTATAAGTGTTGTCTTCAGTAACTGCTTTTCAGACTACTGTGATTGCTGTGTTAGATGGTTAAAAATAATAGTGCTGAACACTGAATCTACTGTACTGCTCGCTTGAAAATTAATAACTTCAAAATACTGTTCCTCCCTCGGTTTCTCAAGGGAAGACGTGTGGGTCGATGACAGTGATGTATCATAGTTTTATAGTTTTGTTTTGTTTTTGGTTTTTTTTGTCCTCTTTTCCACTTTTCGGTAATTATTTTTCTTAAGCTTATGTAATGTGTTGGCTGTAAATACATTGAACATTACAAGCTTGACTCCTATTGTGTGATGACACGATTATCTTTATGTATTCAGTCCCTGATCCACCAGGGTCAGCAGAAAGATCAGTGGCACCACAGAAACGAAAGGTGTCGAGTCCCACCCATTCCTCCAATGGGCACTCTCCCTCAGACACCTCCCCCAGCCCTCTTAAGAAGAAGAAGAAGCCAGGGGCCTTGAATTGTAACAACAAAGACCAGGTAAGGGCTATTGTAAGTGCAAGTTCATTTTGAAATCAGGTGTGTTCTCAAAGGCTATTTCTTTATCCAATTTCAATAATGGGCCATATACTTTCATAGAATGTTAAGGCCAGGGTTGTGCCTGAAAAAAAACATTTCATATGATGTGCTATCTGACCACATCAGAAATCAGATATGTTTATGGTCAATCTAACCGCTGTATAAACACAGCCATAATAAAGTGTATTTTCAGGGTCTTGAATGGGAAGCGTTTAGTGTTATTTATTTATTTTTTGCCTCATGCTTCCACAACTAATGTGTACAATATATGAAAAAAAAAAATTGCACTGCATACAGTTGGCAGATTATACCTTCCACTTCTGGAAGTCTGCTAGGATCTGTTCGAGTCTGAGTGACGTGAATTTCATCAACAGACAGTTAGTGGGAGGATTGATGCAGATGTCCGTGTACTTGTGTTACAAAGCACCAAGTACATAGGCTTCCCAGGCAACACAGTCCAAGTGGACGTTAAAGATGTATAACAGGATTGACTAGTTGGCTTTCAGGTCTTCAGCTGTCTGTGTAAATGCCAGGCTTTAGCCAGTTGTTGGTTTTGAACATGAAGGGTGAGACTGAGACCTCCTTGTCCATCATCAAAGGAGATGAACTAGGGGGAGGGGGTATCTGAGGGTATTCAACAAGAATATGTTACCAGATGTACTGGTGCTATAGTCCAAAGTCAGAATTGTCAAATAGACAACTCAAGTTGGTTTTGCAGCTCGGAAAGTCAGAGCAGCCC